CGTCCTGGCTTCGTCCCCCGATGCCGTCCTGGTCTTGGCCTCGTCCTGGCCCTCCCCCCCTCAGCCACGCGCAGAGAGGGGTGGGGGAAGGGGGGAGGGCTTCTTAGAAGCACCCCTGCTTCTTAGAAGGCGCGGGCCTGATCTATAGATGCAAGGCCGGCGCCTTCCAAGAAGCAGCCTGCTTCTGAGAAGCCCTCGCCCCTCCCCCCACCCCCCTCTGCGCGCCGCCAACCGACAGTGTCTCAAAGCCGCCCTGCTCCGAGTCTGCTCGGACCCCCCTCGAGGGAGGCCTCCTTCACAAGGGGAGCCTGGCCATAGTGCGGGTCGGGGCGAGGGGGGCCCATGGGCCCGGGAGGGGCGCGGGGGTGCTCGGGCGATGGGCCCTCCTCCCTCCCCCTGGTGCGCGCCGCCAACCCCCCTCGGGCCTGCCGCCCGCCGCGAGGTCTCCCGCTTCGCGTCCGCGGGGGAGCTCCTGGTGGCGCTGGGCTCGCGGGAGGGCCTGCGGCGGCGGAGCGGGCAGCTGCGGCGGGGCGGGGCCTCGCGGCACTGGGCGCCCCGCGCCGGGCGGGGGTTGGGAGGGCCCCGCCCCCCGGGCGTGCTCGCGTGGTGGATTTTTTCGGAGGGGGAGCAGGTGCCCACGCCTCTCAGGAGGAGGAAAAAAAAACATTCACAGACGCGATTCGTCGTCGGTTCCCCCGAACATCTGGGGGAAGTATGGGCAGTGGGGGGACGACGAAAACCCCCCAAAAGTATGGGGGATGTGTTTGTTTGTGTGTATTTCTTTGTGTGTGTCCTGGGGCCCCTTCAACCTCTACCCTCCCCTCGTTGTCCCCTTTTCGGGCCTCCTTGGCCTCCGTCGTCGCCACCGCCGGATTCGCCTCGAAATCCTGGTCAGAACGCACCCCAGGAGAGGTCCGGCGAGTAGCGGTATCGGTACCTTTTGGCTTCCCCAGAACTTACCCCATCGGAACACCCAAATAGCAGCTGAGGGATGGAGGCGGGGGGACGCCTGAAACGTTGGCTTGCGAGATCGACCTCATCAGATTGTCGATACGCTTGCGGCGTTGAGCCTGCTGACGAGGGTGGCGCTCGTGATTCCGACGTTGTGGAATGAGCTCGCTTGGAACGACATCAGGGACCGAGCGCCCGCCTCCCAAGCCTGGCAGCTGGAATGGTGAGATGCCAGTGGCCTTGCTACACTCTATGCCCTTGCCACAGTTTCTGGACCTGCGACGGCTGACATCGAGCCACAGTACCATACAGCTTGAGTTCTGGATCTGCGAGGGCTGAAGTCGAGGCAGAAGATTCGCCCCCCCCCTGTGGAGATGATGGTGGGATGTCAGGCGATCGCAAACATGGAGTAAGGGGGCGTGGATTGGCGACGGGTCCCGCGTCCATGGGAAACCGCGGATTTCCGCCGCTGAACGAGGCCGCACTGGCCGCATTTTGGGGAGGACACTTCTTCCGATCCATGGATTTGGCGACAGCGCGCCAAATCCATGGATCGCTAATCCATGTTCGCGCGTCCCCGAGGATGGATATTCGAAGCGCAATCGAGCCATGACACCATAGTGAATCTCATTCCTGGACCAACAAGGGCTAGAATCGAACCATAATATCAGAGTGAACCTCATGTATAAACCAAATCGAGCCACAACACCAGAGTGAGTCTCGTTCTGGAACTGCGAAGGCTGACATCGAGCCAGAAGACCCGCCCCTCCGAATGTCAGCTTGTGGCTACGCAATGATGTCCAGCTGCGTCGAGACGGACTAATTGAACATATTCGACCGATCGTCTGGATCGCTTGTGAGAGTTCAGAATTTCATATCCTCCAATAGGTCGTTCACGCACTGCTGGCCTCGGCTAGTGCCCCCCACGTGATGCCCCCCGGTGCTGATGAATAGACCCCGCGGGGCTCAACACATGTTTTCTATCATGCGCGCCACGGGCTCGTGGCGGGTGCCGCCGACGAGATCTTGTGACCCCGCACGGCAGCCTCAAAACGATTTGTTGTATATCGAAGTTGTTTCAGGAATCGTATACATCGGAGGCGAATTTATTTTTCCCATGCTGCTTACTGACGTGCCAGTCGTCGTCGTCGTCGTTGTCGTCGTCGTCGTCGTCGTCGTCGTCGTCGTCGTCGTCGTCGTCAGCTACAGCAGGCCTGTGCAGCACCTTCCCCTGTTCACGGGGCATCCGAAGTGCGTCGTCTTAATCGCCAACAGTTTTAACGAGCATGCGTCGTGCACTCGCCCACCCCCATTGAGCATCCGCAATGCGTCGTCGCCCGCCGTCGTCGTCGTCGTCGTCGTCGTCGTCGTCGTCGTCGTCGTCGTCGTCGAAGTCGTCGTCGTCGTAGGACATAATGTGGTGAAGTGTCGGAAGGGATGGAATAGGAAAAGGAGAAGCTCTTTCCGCCTGCCCTTGCCGCTCATCCCTCCCGTTTACCTTTTTTTGTTTGCAGCCATGTCGGCACCGCCCGTCAGCTGAGGCGCCTCTCCCCCCCGCCTCCTCAATTTTGGCTGTCTGCAGATCGTTTGGCCCACAAGCTATAGCGGAGGCGTTGTGCCCCCTTCGCTGAAGCGGCGTCGCTTTCGTCGCGCCTGTCGCCCTCTCATTGGCGGTTGGGCGTCGGCGCTAGTCACCCGCGCCGCCGCCGTGTGTTTCCATTTGCGGCCCCCCCCCGTGATTCGGCCGAGCTGGGGGGGCATGTTTTTTCACGCGCTTCCCGTGTTTGTACTTGTCACAAGCTGCCATTATATCGTAAATTGGAGCATATGCATTACCAGTGGCGGGCTGTTGTTCAATCCCTAGAAGCTTTCAGGGTCGGGGACGACGTCGGGGTGGTGTGGTGTATACTGGTTTCCCCGTTTTCCGTTGGAAACAACAAAAACTGTATACACCAGGATGCCGTATACAGCATAATCCGTTTGTTTGTGCGAATTTCAGAACGGGACCAGAAAAAACATTGGTGTATAAAGTTCGGTTCTTCATTATTGGACATGTTGTTGGCATGAGTCTGCGACTTAGGAGCCAGCACGCACGCAATACTGAATTTCATTTCCGGACCGAACCTAGCCATAGCCTTTTGAGTACCTCATTTCATGATCTGGGAGGGTTGAAATCGAACCGTACTACCAAAGTGAGTCTCAATTCTAGACGCTTCGCGTAACCCCGCCAGCCAATCCAGAAACGATGCCCAGAGGAGGTTCCTCGATCAGGGAAGTGGGCCGCACACAGAGGGAGCGTCCCCCAGTGGAGGCCTCTTGGAGCGTTTTGGGGGCCTCTTGGCGGTCCCGGGCACCTCTTAGAGCGTTTTGGGTGCCTCGGAGAGCTTCTTGGGGCCTCTTGGAGGTCTCTTGGGTGCCTCTTGGAGGCCTCTCGGGCGCCTGTTGGGGCCTCCTGGGGCCTCCTGGGCGCCTCTTGGGGCCCTCTTGAAGTGCTCTTGCGAGCCTTGGGAGCGCTCTTGGAACCCTCTTGGGCCATCTTGGAGTCATCGTGACCTCGGATGACCATCGGAAGCGAAAAGGCGAGAAAATTCAAACCATTGATTTCTAGGGCTTTGGAAGGATTTTGGCCTCTTCGGGGCCTCCTGGGGGGGCTCTTTGGCCACTTGGAACAGTCTTGAAGCGGTCTTGGGGCCTCTTGGAGCATCGTGGGCGCCATCTTGAGGCATCTTGGGATATCTTGAGCCATCTCGGAGGTCATCTTGGGATCTCCCAGGCGCTCTTGGAGTTATCTGAAGCAGTGTGCCCCCCCCCTGGAGGCCGAAATGTGGCCAAAACCTTCGCGCAAACAATGATTTTGGCAGTCCCGCCGAGGCCTCATGGAGCGTCTTGGGTGCCTCTGGGGGGCCTCTTGGGGCCTCTTGGGGGTCTCTTGGGGGCCCCTTGGGGGCATCCTGGGGGCCTCTTGGGTGCTTCTTGGGGCCACATGGGGCCATCTTGGGGCCACCTCGGGGCCTCTTGGGGCGTCCTGGGCGCCCTTTGGGGCAATCTAGGGATCCATCACAGGAGGGGGGGACTCAATCAGCCTCCCCCCCATCAGGAGGCCAAAATGGGGCCACAGCCATAGTACAACCACTGATTTTGGTTTCCTCGCCGAGGCCGTTTTGGACGCTCCAACGCGTCGGGGAACCCCCCGTCGAGGTCCAGGGGAGGGGGCAGGGGTAGGGGTCAAGCTACCCCCTCCCCGCCCGCAAGCCGTCTCGCTCACCCCCACCCGCCTTCCCAACACATACGTAGCACCCGAGCCTGGCCCGAACCGCAGCATATTCAGCAGTCGTTTTTGGACGGGCAGCTACTGGGGGCGAATCCGCCGCCACCGCCGCCGCCTCCGCTGCCGCCGCCCGCCCCCGCCGCCGCCGTCGCCACCGCCGCCGCCACCGCCGCAGCCGCCGCAACCGCTGCCCCCGCCGCAGCCGCCGCCGCCGCCAAGTGTATTCTATATTGTTTTTTGAAAGGGATGGTGGGGGGGAGGCCGCATCGGGTTCGCTGCGCAGGCTCCGAATTTGGAGGCAGAGTGTGATGTGTATGGTTTTTTATCAGGGATGGTAGGGGGGTGCCCTCATTAGCTCGGGTTGGCTCCCAGTCGCCGGGGGGGCAGGGTGTATATTAATAGGGAACAGTGGTAAACCCCTCCCCGAAGGGGAAGAAGGAGGGGTAAAAGAGGAAATGCTCTAGACCACCTACGCCCAAAGGGCTGGTGGGATTCTGGACCAAAACGGGCCAACACGTTAGAATGAGTCTCATGTCTGGAGGTGGGGGTGTTCTCGGGTTTTTGGGTGCGAGAGCCACCCTCACCCCCAGCCCGGCCCCTCGATCACCAGGTCGGGAGTCGGGGTCTTGGTTGGGGGTGGGTTGTGCTGTCATCAGACGTGTTCCCGTTGGAAAAAATGGCGGGCGGCGATTGTCGGGGGCGAACTTGGGCGGCTCCTCTGGTGAGATGCGGTGCGCTGCTCTGGCCCCCTTGTCGGCATGATCGGGATCGGTACAGACAGCATGGGGACGAAGACTGCAGTGGAGGCCCATGCCAAGACACACCCTGCTTGCCTCCAGGGTGCTATGGGTGTTCTTGGGTTTCGATGGTTTTGCGATGGAAAGCACGGCGTTCCCACACCAAAAATCGATGGACGTCTTGGGGTTTCAGGGTTGGGTTTCTTTTGTAAGGTTCTTGTGGACTGGCCTCTGCTGTAAGAGCAGCTCCTGCCCATCGTGGACGGCTCACTGCCGATGTCGCCGCTCACGGTGTTTATTCGACATGCCCCAGCAGCGGCCGCTGTCGGAGTTGAACAACACTTGCCGTTGTGCATTGTATGTGCTTTCCGTGCCCTTGTCGCAACATCGCCGAAGCATCGGCAGTGTTGGGGAAACCGAAGAAGACCGCACCAGCATTGTCGAGGCGAGTCCAGCCGTGGCGACGAGGGCCTCCCAGCAGGCCCCACAAGGCGAAACTGGGGCAAGGGTAATTCGCAGTATCCGTACCTTTTCCTCCTCTGAGATGCGGCGCGATCTTCTGACCACCATCTGCTCCGGCCTTCTGACGAGCCGCCCTTGTCTCCGGAGCAGGTTCAGATCCCTCCTCGGAGGACGCGAGGGCTTCTGAGAAGGCCCATCCCTTGTCCCTTAGGTGTCCCCCCCTGGCCCACCGCCGACGAGCACCAGCCGCAGTTTTTTTTCTTGTTGTTTTTTGTTTGTTCCTTTCCTCTCTCTCGATATATATATATATATATACCTATATATATGTATATATATGTGTTAGTTTTTTGTTTATATCTATATATATATATATATATACTTTTCTCACGACGCGAGCATGCCGGGGGCGCGATCCGCCGACCCCCGCCTGCTCGGGCCCCGCTCCTGGGAGGCCCCCGAGGCAGGGCCACCTGGGCCGCGTGGCCGGCACGGCCGCCTTCTGGAGGCGGGCGCTGCTGCGGGCCCTCGGCGCCTGAGGGGCTGCCGCGGGCCCTCGGCGCCCGCTGCCGCGGCGCGCTGCTGCGACCCCGCTTGCTCGGGCTCCGCGTTTCGCCACGCACCAAACCACCCCGAACCCAACCCGAAGCCCTCAATGTGCCCTCCATTTCCAGTGGGGGGGGGTCTCGGGGAACGTTGAAAAAACGCGTGGTCTCCGTACCCCCCCCCCCCACCCGAAATTCGGATCAGATTCGGGTCTTCGGGTCGGGTTGGGGTGGTCTGGAAGGCAGTCAGCGTTGGGAGGCCTCTGGGGCGGGGCCTCCGCCACGACAAACAAAAACCACACAGGCACCCTTGGCGGATTCTGACTGGGCCTCCGGCGAGGGCGGCGGTGTTTACACAGTTCCATTGCGCGTCGGCGACTTCGTACGCCGCCACCCTCCCTGAAGGCACGCGTCAGGCTCGTCGTCGCTGCTCGATGCTGTTTATGTGTACAGTCGGGGCCCCGAAGAACGAACCCTTTTCGTTTGGGAGGGGCTCCGTGTTCCTCAGTTGTTTCCCAGTGCTCCTCGGGTTTTCCTAGAAGGTTCTCCATGGAGAATCGGAGTTCAACTTGTGGGAAAAAGGGGGGCCTCGTTCCTTACTTGGGGTTCCTTATAGGTCAACGCCTCGACTGTCCTTTGGGTTTGCGCCTGGGTTTTGCCTGCGGCGGCTGGCCGCGCCCCCCGAAGGGCATCCGCCGCGCGCCGCTGCGGGCCCCGCGCCTGGCGTGGAGGGCTGGTTCGGGGCCCCCCTCCGTGGCGCCGGGGCGCGAGCCTCGTGCTCGCCCGGAGCCGGCCGCGGCCCCGCTGCTCACCACCCACCAAACCACCCCAACCCAACCCGAAGGCCCAAGTTTATCCTCGATTTCCAGTGGGGGGGGGTCGAGGAACGTTGAAAAAACACATGGTATCCGTACCCCCCCCAACCCGAAATTCGGGTCAAATTCGGGTCTTCGGGTTGGGTTGGGGTGGTCTGGTAGGTAGTCAGCTGCCAGTCGCTTGGCATCGCTCGGACGTGTGCATTTTTCCTTCGGCGAGGACCATCGAGGAGCATCCTTGATTATTTGGCGGAAAAACCACGCACGAAACCAACATAAAGCACAGGGAATGGACGTCCGAGCGATGGCGAGTGCCAGTCGGGGTTGGACAGACCTCCCACCCTGACGCGTCGACTGAGGAATTGGCCGCTTCCGGTTCGCGAGAGGGCGGCGCGGCCGTCGTTTGCGGGTCCAGTTCCGTCGGTTTCGGTCCCAGGCCGTTTTCACTAAGGGGAGGTAAAAGGGAGGTGTTCGGGTATAGGCAGGACCCCGGGTAAGGGGACCCGGTTAGTGGTAGGGCCCTGGGGCCCCTCAATGGGCCAGATTCACTAAACCAGGTTTGCCGTAACTGGTGTTTTGCGGGTGACGGCAGTTCCGGTTGGTGGAAATGGGACGGGGGGGCGCCCCCGGTACCAATCTCTACACCAGGTTCCACTGAACCCAGTTCTGCCAAAGCCCGAGGTGTGTCCGCCGCCGGGCCAGGGTGGGCCCCACTCGGGACGGCCGCATCTTTGCCTTCCCGTTCCCTGGCTTCGGCCCGCAGTGCACCCGCGGTCACCCTCTGGCCGTCGCGAGGGGTTGCGGGGGGCGGAGACGGAGACGGAGCATCATACATTGCCATCTGGGGGGCCACGTCGGCGGACGGGGCTAAGGCCATGCCTGCGGGGAGGGGGATCGGTTGAACGATGCTCAGCTCCAAAAGAATCCGCGCGGAGCTCCGACATAACATGTTTGTGCCGCTGTGTCTCCCTCCACAGCAGCTCGGGCGCAGAGTGTCCGCGGAGCGGGCGGGTCACAAACAGCGGGGTTTGAAGAAACAAACGGCATCGGAGGCCTAGAGGTTGGCCTTTGCGCCAGGATCGCTGGCTGCCTCCACCGATGCAAGACGATCCATATCTCGGTGCCGTCGGTGGCGGTGGCGATGATAATCGGGCTCCCTATCATAGGAGGCCGGGGGGTTACCACCAGCACCAGAATGTGTGATCATCTTCCCCCGTTGGAGGCAGGTCTCTGTGCTGGTGTTGCTGACCATTTCCAAACCTGCGAATGCAGTTCGTCGTCGTCGTTGTCGCCGTCGCCATCGGCGGCCGCCTCGGAGGGTGCAGTGAGGGCGTGCTATTCGGTGCGGCGTGGAGATCAATAAATTTTGGGGAACGAGGAATGACATAGGCATACAAACTCGGAGGTCCGCGCGGATTTCTTGGATCCGCGCTGGACCCCCTCCGTGGCGCGCGGAGCGATCCAGCGCGGCGGGTCCAGCGCGGATCCGAGAAATCCGCGCGGACCTCCGAGTTTTTATGTCTATGTCTTTCTTCACTCCCTTAGAATCACTGCTTCAGAGGACGAGGAACTCAGACATGCGACGTCTTGAATTTTTCACGACGGCGTTCCCGGAAGTTTGGACTCTTTTCTCGGGGCCGGTTCTTCATCCCGAGTCGTTTTTTGACGCTCCCAGGGGCCTGCGAGGGCCCCCAGGAGCCGAAAATAGCGAAACACCGCCCTTCTGTTGCATTTTTCCGAATTCCCAATTCCACATTCTGCTCACGTTTCATATATATGCTGTCTGGCTGGTAGTCGAATTGTACACCCATGCCCTGCACAGGGCCGAGCAGCCGACAGGCATGCTCGCGTGGTTCGCTCGCTCGCTCGCAATCGTGTCTGGGAGCAGGTGGCATAAATGAGACACGCTGCTGGCGGTCCCTGCAGGCTTCTCGCGGGGCGACGACGGCGGGGCCCCCCTTTTGGCAGCGGCTCCGGCGCCGCTCCCGCCGCCGCGCTCCCTCGCGCCAGCACCAGGGAGGGGCCTCCCCGCCGCGCCAACAGCTCGAGGACGACGGCACTGCCATTCTCCCCCTCCTCCTCCTCCTCCTCCTCCTCCTCCCCTCCTCCTCCTCCTCCTCCTCCCTTCCTCCTCCTCATCCTCCTCCGCCGATAGTTCGAGGAAGACGTCATTGCCATTCTCCTCTTCCTTCCCCTCCTCCTCCTCCTCCTCCGTCTCCTCCTCCTCCTCCTCCTCCTCCTCATTCTCTTCCTACTGCAGCTCTTTCGCGGGCCTCCGGTCTGATCCGATCCGGTCGCTTCCTCCTCCTCCTCCTCCTCCTCGGCCCGTGCCCGCCCCTCCTCCTCGGCCTCTCTTCGCTCCTCCTCCCCCTGCTCCTCCGCCTCCGCCCCCGCCCCCCGGAAGCACACGCGAGCGGCGCGAGCCAGCGAGGCCGTCTGCGCCCCACGCCGGCGTGCGAGCTGCTCGCGCAGGGCCGCGCGTGGCGGAGCGCCCTCGCGTTCAGCGCGGCGCAGCGCGCGGACGGCCCGCGAAAGCCACGGCGTGAGGTCGCGATGCCATCTCGCGTAAGGCCCGTACACCTTAGGCGATGAACAAGAAAACTTAAGTTCTCGGCCAGAGTCTCGATTATTCTTAATGTTTCAATGTAAGTCCTAAGATTTTGATAGAACTTCTGGGTTTTAATGAAATTCTGAGACTATGAATTTCTTAACCCATGATTTCTTAAGCATTTCGCAGGGTGTAAGGCCCGTAAGGCTTGTTTCGGATCGTCGCTCAAGCGCTCATGGTTCAGCGGGCGAAGAACGATATAACATGAACGTTTCCGTCGCCGGGGGCGCTGCCCCAGGCGGCCCCGCGAGCGAAAACGATTATTTTGTGCCGTTCTTCGCCTGTTAGGCGATGCCCAGCTGGCCCTACGCCGGCTTTGGCCAGCGCGTCCAGGTCAAAAGGCCTGCGCCATCGCGCCGACCTTCGACAGAGGAGATGTGTGAGGCCCCTGGCCTGATTAGCCCGTTTTCCACCACCACCACCATAAGTTGGAGGGAGGAAGGACGGAAGGAAGAGGAGGAGGAGGAGGAGGAGGAGGAGGAGGAGGAGGAGGAGGAGGAGGAGGAGGAGGAGGAGGAGAAGAGCAGGAGGAGGACCCCCTCCCCCGCCAACTTATGGTGGTGGTGGTGGTGGAAAACACGCCCATCACTGGCCTCGTCCTCGGAAGGGGGGGGAGACTTGCGGCTTCCGGTCGTTTGTTGCGTCCTTTGGTGCCTCCCGTCGCGCTGCCTGTGTGCACTTGCCGCTGAGTCGCCCTCCTTCTTCTTGGGGGCCTTTTGAGCGGCCTTCCGAGCCTTTCGGTGGCACCTGGGGGCTTCGAAGAAACTTGCGTAACGTGAGTGCTCTCGGTGCGCCGGGGGTCGGAGCGCCCTCGTCGCGCGGTTGCTGCCCGCGAGGGGGGTCGACGTGGGGCTGTCGGCGCGGGTGACGCCCCCCCCCCCCCCCCGACTTACCAGTTTGAAACATATCCCAATCCTTATGTTTGACATCACCTCACCTCGATGCCGATCTTAAGGATGCCCTCAGTTTCTGAGGGCCTATCCCTAAGATTGTCCTCGCTTTTTGCTTGCCCATCTTAGGGATAGGGATCAGTTCGAGGCTGGTTACCGACGCTTCTCATGAAGCTCGGAGTAATCTTTTCGGAGGTCCGCGCGGCTGTCCCGGAGCAGCGGGGGCACGCGCCGCCCGAGGGGGGCCCAGCGCGGGTCCAGGACGCCCACGCGACCTTCGAGGGGGTGTGCTCATGCTCAGGTCGGGCGTGTCCCCCTACAGGAGGGAAATTCGAACATAGTTTGAAAGCTAGTCTGGGGACGGTTGTTCTATGATGTGTTGGGCTCTTTTTGATTTTCTGTGCTATCTTAAACATGTTCGCCCCGAGTCCGCCTGTAGGAGGACATGCCCGAGCGAACGCCAGAGGGGGACCCAGCGCGGGTCCATGAAACCCACCCGACCTTCGAAAAGGTTGTGCTTCTGCAGTTTTCTTCGGCGGCGATCTCGGGGGGGGAAGTGAGAGGGAGGGGGCGGGCCTTCTCGGAAGGCTTGGAAGTTCCTCGGCTTTCCGAGAGGTTTTCGGAGCCTTCCTCGAAGACGCAGGCGGCCTCTTCGAAGGCCGGAGCCCTCCTGAGCTTCGCCGCCCTCCTGAGGAGGCATTCCTTCTCAGGGCCGGACCCAAACGCTATTTTGCTGGACTTCGGCTGTGCTTTGTTTTTCGTTTTGGTTTGGCCCTGCCCGCCCGCGCCCTGTCTCCCCAATCAGGGCTACTCGCGCCCGTTTAGCTCTTGACCGGAAGGGACCCGCTCCCGACCCGCAGACCAAACAGTTGTTCGTTTTGGCAGGGAGGTAGAGGAAAACAGGCAGAGCAAAACGAACAACAACACGAGCACAACACGAAACCCAACGCTTAGGTCCCGCCCTGCTCCTTCTCGTCTTCCCACCCGCGCTCGCCGCCGACTAGAGCTCTTGGGATCCCGTGTTGAACAACGGCATCGCCAGATGTCGAGGCAGATGGCCGCAGTCTGGGCTCGTTTTTGGGGCTCCTGGGTCTGGGAAGAGGGCACGGTCTCCTTGGTCTTGCCCTCCCTGGGGTTCCTCGCCCGCCTTCGATGTTTCGGTCTTCCAGAGACGCAGTCGAGGCCAGTGCGTTGTCGTGTGCTCAGTGGTGCGATGCTTTACTTTCTCCAGTGGGGGGCCCTCCTGGGCGTCCCGATGCTTTCCCCAGGGCCAGGTTGGCATGCAGAGTTTTCTCTTGACGGTCCTGGGGCCCTGCGAGGGCCACCAGAGGTTCAACCAAACATAAGCAACACAAGCACGTCCCGTCGCCGTTTTTCCACGTCGCGAGCATGTCGGGGCAGACGATTTCGAAGTCAGTGCGTTGTCGTACAGTGTCGTCGTCGTCCTCGTCCTCGTCCTCGTCTTCCCCAGACATCCAACGTCTCGATATTTTCGAGACGCTGGCCCCCGACCTCCCGACCGCTTCCCCAGGACCGGTGTTTCGTCCCGAGTCGTTTTTTGACGGTCCCGAGGCCCGGCGAGGGCCCCGGGAGGCTGAAAACGGCGAAGAACGTCCGCCTCGATTTTTTCGAGACGCCCGATGTCTGGGTCGTCCTCGTCCTCGTCCTCGACGTCCTCGACGTGCGCGCCGCCGGCACGCTGCTCGTCCTCGTCCTCGTCCTCGTCCTCCTCGTCCTCCTCCCCCCTCCTCCTCCTCCTCCTCCTCCTCCTCCTCCTCCTTTTCCTCCTCCTCCTCCTCCTCCTCCTCCTCCTCCTCCTCGTCCTCGACGTGCGCGCCGCCGGCACGCTGCTCTGGCCGCCAGCAGGCGCGCCCGCGCCGCGCGCGCCGCGCGGGGCGCCTCGCGCGCGGCGCCCCGCGCGCGGCCAGGCGCCCAGGTGAAGGTGCCGGAGCAGACGCTATTCGGTGGGCGCAGGGGGGGGAGGAGGGGGAGGGGGAGGGGGAGGAGGAGGAGGTGGGGGAGGAGGAGGAGGAGGAGGAGGAGGAGGAGGAGGAGGAGGAGGAGGAGGAGGAGGAGGAGGAGGAGGGGAGGGGCGAGGAGGGCGAGGAGGAGGACGAGGCGGGCGAGGAGGAGGAGGAGGCCTGCCTCCTATCTCCTCTCTTCTTCTCGTCCTCCTCCTCCTCCTCATCCTCACCTTCTCCTTCCTCCTATCTCCTCTCTCCTGCCCTCTGCTTTTTCTTCCGAACCCTCCTGTGTTGGGATTTCGTTCTGAACAGAGCAGTGTGGTCGCGTCTCGTTCTCTCCTCTCCTCCCCCTCCTCCTCTCCTGCCTCGTATCTCCCCTCTCCGCACACGGCCAGGACCTCGCGGTTCCCTGGGGGGGCTGCGAAGTGTGATCGTGTTGCCACTTTCGTGGGCTCCTGGGAGATCGCGCGCAGTGTAGTTGTACACATACCCAGCCGAGACCTCGCGGCTCCCTGGGGGGCTGCGAAGAGTTAAACGGTCGCCCTTTTCGTAGGCTCCTGGGAGGTCGCGCGGAGTGGAGTTGTACGGAGACCTAGTTGAGACCTCGCGGCTGGGGGGCTGTGAAGTTTGAAATTGTCGCCCCTTCCATTGGCTCCTGGGAGGTCCTGCGGAGTGGAGTGGTATGGGGATCCCGTCGAGACCTGGAGGCTCCCTGGGGGGCTGCGATGTGTGAAACAGTCGCCACTTTCGTTGGCTTCTGGATGGCCGCGCGGAGTGGAGTTGTACAGGGATCCAGTTGAGACCTCGCGGCTCCCTGGGGGGGGGCTGCGAAGTGTGAAGCAGTCGCCACTTTCGCGGGCTTCTTGGAGGTCGCGCGGTGTGGATCTGTACGGAGACCCAGTTGAGACCTCGCGGCTCCCTGGGGGGCTGCGAAGCGAAGTGGATTTGTACGGGGACCCGGTTGAGACCTCGCGACTCCCTGGGGGGGCTGCGAAGTTTGAATCAGTGGCCTTTTTCGTTGGCTCTTGGGAGGTCAAGTGGAGTAGAGTGATATGGGGATCCCGTTGAGACCTCGCGGCTCCCTGGGGCCTGCCAAAAGCGCACTGTCGCAATTTTCGTGAACTTCAGGGGGGATCCGGCGGAGTCGGTAATCACGTAGATCCCGTCAAGACCTCGTGGCTCCCTGGGGGGCGGGGCTGCGAAGTGCGTCACTGTCGTCACGTTCGTGGGTTGTCTGCAGTGTCAGGCGAGTTCGCGGTAGTTGTCGCCGGTGCGTCATTGGCGCAGGCGCCGACGAGAGATGCAATTGGCTTCGACTACTCGCATCCAAGTTGCTTAGAGTTCTCATAGCGCGCGGCTTTTCACCGTCTCGCAGCGTCGGCGCTGTCGCATCGCAAGTCGCAGGGAACCGTTGCGCCGCGCAGCGCATGGCGCTGTCTTTGGTCCGCATGATCTCCCATCCTAGCTGCCTCTGGCCCGTCATGCCATCCCGTGCGCCTGCCTCGTCCAGCGCGAAGCGCTATTCGGTTATAGGGCGCCTGGCGCTGTTCTGTCTCGCGTATGTAGCTTTCGGCGATATCGCTGTTACTGAACGTATGTCCCC